TGACTGGTCTGCCGCATCGGGCCTTCAGTCCACCTGGTCCACCCTCTGAGTCTAGCCCATATCCATCGAGTCTGCAGTGTGGTTGGTCCGCCCGCACTGCGCCTTCAACCCACCTGGTCCACTCTCCGAGTCTACAGTATGACTGGTCCGCCCCGCACCGGGCCTTCAGTCGGCCTGGTCCACTCTCCGAGCCTCGGCACGTCTGCTCCGCCCTCGTGGGGCCTACAGCCTATCCGGGCCGCTCGCTGGGCCTTCGGGATATCCGATCCTCCCTGGGTATGTTGGCCTACAACACAAAGCATGACCCACCACAACCCAACCCCAGTCAACCAACCATGTGCACATAAACATATAACCACATAACAATTAATCATCAGTCAACCGATCTAGCAGATCACATACATAGCATACTGTAAACAGGATATCGACGTAACCGGTCACTAACATATACCATCCTAACTACCAGAATGCAAATATAGTAAAGCAATAACACAACAACAATACCCGAATTACAATACGATAAAGGGTCGACCTTGGTGCCTTAGACCCTGTCGATATAGTGAGGATAACTCACCTCGCAACTGCTGACTGAAAAGATACGATCACGCTGCTCCAACCTCCGACACGAATTCCACCACTGATAATACCAAAAGACTAAACTCAAAAAATACCAATAATTACCAAAATACCCCTGGAAGTCAACTGGTCAACTCTTGGTCGAAGTCAAAGTCCTCAGTCAAAGTCAAACTACCTGACTGACTCTACTCACCGAGTCAGCCCGCTGACTCGTCGAGTCCCTATGCTCTGAAAACTCCCATATCGCGATCCAACTCGCTGAGTGCCATGAACTCTGAGTCACTTCCTGCTCAACTCACTGAGTCGTCCCTCGACTCACCGATTCAAAGCTCAACCAAAAAGGTTAGGACTTCGCGACCAGACTTGCCGAGTCCAAGAACAGACTCGCTGAGTCCAAGACAATCTTCAACAGACTCGCCGAGTTGTACTTCCAACTCGTTGAGCCCCTGCCTATCTTCATCCAACTCGCCGAGTACACCCATGTGACTCGCCGAGTACATCTATTTCTTAATCCTTATAGTGGCTTTCCAAGCCATGCAGGGGCTCCAATCCATAGATCTACCCTTCTACAAGCTATTCCTCATGTAAAGTTGCAAACTTTACGTGAATCCAAAGAGTTCTAAGTATAAAACACTCTTGAACTAGGGCTTGGGACAAGAAGGCTTCACCAACAATTCAAATACAGGAACTTTATGATCTTCTAGACCATATCAAGTCCAGATCTAAGTTAGCAACCTTAGATCCAACCTCCAAGCCCCAAATAACTCTAGAAATACTCCCAAAAATCCCACAAATGATAGATCTTGATGGATAATAGCTCAAGCAACGAATCATTACCTCAAGAGAAGACTCAAACAGAAGAATAAGCCAAACCTTGCAAAGCCCCTTGCTCCAAGCCACTTAATATTCAAAGATCTCTTCAACAAACACTCCTTCAAGATTCAAATGCTCTCTAATTCCCTCTCAAACGGATATTAGGGTTTCTGGACTTCAAGGGAGAGTAAAGAGACTGGGGAGAGGGTATAATGTTCTTTATATAGGGCTCAACCCCCGGGATTTGGGTTTTCTCCACACAGCACCAACTCGCCGAGTCCAGCCACCGACTCGCCGAGTTGGCCACTTAACACGCGACCAGAGTCACGACCCTACTCGCCGAGTCTACCCATGAACTTGCCGAGTTGACCATCCACGTTTTCTCTTTGAACCTTGAACTCGCACTCCTGAACTCGGGATGTTACAATTTAATTTATTTTTTTATTGCATTAGTTCTTTTTATTGGATTATTAATTTAAATTTATTGTTTTTATTTATAATAAATAATATTTTTTAATTGTTTTTATTTTTAGTATATAATATTTGAACTTATGATTTTGATATATAAAATTTCCCTAAAAATATTTCTACACGAATTACCAAAATTTGAGTATTCGCTACTCGGTGGTCGGCCGAACGAGTACCGAATAATGAGTTCTACAAATTTTTCACCACCTGTAGTGGCTAAGGTGGTTTGAAAACCCTCGATTTAACATTGTCGTCACCGATGGTGGTATCTGTAATGAATGGTCGGCTGGAGGAAGTATGCTTTCTGGGGTTTATTTCACATTGTGTGGGTAGTCAACTGGTATAGTTTTCGTCGAGAATGACCGGCTGTAGTCGATGATCGATGATTTTCAGCAAGATGATACGACGACGCATGGTGGTAAAATGCAACGAATGGAGGAGCTGACCCGGAGTGTTTGATAATTTTATTTAAAACAATAAAGAACGAAATTAAATTAAAATAAAAACAATTAATTAAATATTATTTATTATATAAAAAATAATAAATTTAATTTAATAATCTAATAAAAAGAACTAATGCAATAAAAAATAAAAAAAATAATTAAATGAAATTAATAATCCAATAAAGTAATACTTACTAATAGATAAATATTATGTGCTAAAAATAATATTTGTTAATGTATAATAATCCAATAAAATAGAATTATTACAATAAAGAAGAAATTTAAAAAATCAATTAAAATAATAATAATAATAAACATAATATTTACTAATATATAAATATAATATATTAAAAATAATATTTCTTAATATATAAAAATCCAAACAAAAGAATTAATGAAATAAAAAAATTAAAAAAAATAATTAAATGAATTTAATAATCCAAAAAAGTAACACTTACTAATAGATAAATATTATATGTTAAACATAATATTTATTAATATATAATAATCCAATAAAAAAACAATTAATGCAATAAAGAAGAAATTCAAAAAAATAATTAATTAAAAAATTTAATAATAAAAAAGTAATATTTATTTATATATAAATATATTATATTAAAAATAATATTTATTAATATATAATAATCCAATCAAAAGAATTAACGAAATAAATGAATTTAATAATCTAAAAAAGTAACACTTACTAATAGATAAATATTATATGTTAAAAATAATGTTTATTAATATATAATAATCAAATAAAAAAGAATTAATACAATAAAGAAGAAATTAAAAAAATAATAATAAAAAAGCAATATTTATTAATATATAAATATAATATATTAGAAATAATATTTATTAATATAATAACCCAATAAAAAATAATACAATAGAAAAAAGTTAAAAAGAAAAAAATAATTAAAATAATTAATATATAATAATTCAATAAAATAAAAAAGAAAAATTGCATAAGTGGTCCTTATAATTTGGTAAAAAGATAAAACTGCAGAAATGGTCATAGGGGTAAATCCATCATTTTCTAAAAATTAACAATCATGTTGTTAAACTTAATGAGGTTGAGACCAAAACCGCAATAAAATCATCAAATAGCGATCTTTTTTGCTAATAAACTTTTTTTTAGACTTTACCCACATAAATTAACAAACTACAGGGACGATTTTTACAATTTTGTCTTCAAAATATTGTTATAGAAGCCACGTACCATATATCAAGGTAACCAAAATCCCACGATCAAAGTAATCATAACTTTTAGCAGCTCTAGTAGTTAATGGGGCCACATATAATTAACAGCAAAAAGGTTAGGCCCTCGTATGTAATTATGCTAAAACATTGAACCAAAAATGTAATTTAACACTCTTGAGTAATGAATTGGATCTTTGTAAAAGCCTTAACCGATCTTTTTGTAAAAAAGTTTAAATTTCAATACTATGGGGGTAAAAAATTCTACACTTTTGAAGAGCAAAATTACATCTTGAAAATTTAAACCTATTTATTTAAGGGAAAATGACAAAAAATTAAAATGTTTACTTATTCAATGGTAAATGTCGAAAAATGTAAATTATAATGGTTTGATAATTGGGAAAATTACTATATTAATTTTGGATACTTTTCATAATTAATACTAAAAAGTTCTCTCGTTTATTGAAAACAAACTTATATCAAATTTGTGACAATTTAAAGCCTAATATTTACTTCATGTATATATGAAAAGTCCTAGCTTTTAATAAATGTTTTTATTAAAAAAACACAACTTATTAGATTTTACTAAAAATAACCTCTTGTATATTAAATGTTTTAGAAATGGAAAGGTGTTTGTAGGCACAAAAATAGTATGTTTCCTTTTCGATTTTGACTTTGATTCATTCAATCTCTAATTACTCAAATAGAACATTTATATGTTTTTTTTCAAGTGAATAACACAATAAATCCAACCAAATCCATCCTAATTAATCGACTAAACCTGGTTTTAATTTATCACTACATTAGAATATCATTTTTTCTTCTTATTTGAAACATAATTATTTGAAAATCTACCATATTATATAGCATTGTTGTTTTTTTTAAAGACACTATATATTAAAATTATATCTTAATTATTAAAGAAGTGAGAATTGATTTGTATAAAGCAATGTTAAATCGGATATTACTTTAGAAAAAACAATGAGTTGATAAGAATATATAAATTAAAATGCTGTAATCATCAAATCAGTAAAAAATATATTGCTAATAATTAAGAAGCCTACAATATCCTTATCAGAAATTTTTCAAGACAATTAACAAATAATTAATAACTAAGGAATTAAAGTTTCTTACACTTCTTCTATCCAAGTTGCCTTATCCAGTGTATTCAAGATAAATGATCATCAACTTCTCCACATTCTGATTTTCATAGTCAAAATCCTGCATTAAAACAATCGATATATATACGAAATAACAGTACTATCGACGAAGATGAAAACATATATATGGCAAACAAATATATAAATCAAATTCAAGGAATAATATCCTTGATGTGATGTAGCATTACATGGCCTAGATCATATATCATACACACAATATAATATATAATAGAGTTTTGGCCACATTATTAAACTAATAATAAAAATCAAAGCCTACATATGCATCTCCCATGCATATGGTATTATTTTAATAACAAGGCTACACACAAGTAAATCATGATCACTCTTCCGGCGGTGGTGGTTCGTTGAGATCTGGCAGTTTGAACCGTTTTGACGGTCCTTGTTCACCATTGCCGCCGCGTGAAACAAAGTTAGCTGAAAGTGCTCTGGCAATCTCTCGGCTTGCGGCCAGCCTCTCCTCGTGTGTGTGCCACCGGATGTGGCCACAGAGAGCTTTCTCATGATGTAAATCCTTTTGGCAAATTGGGCATATTACAGGCCTTCTTGGAGTGGCTAGTAATATCCCGTCGGCAGAAGGGGTGGGTGGAGTTGGTGTTGGTGGCGGTGGAAGAGTTGTTGACGAAGATGCCGCCTGGGAAAGCTTTGACGGTGTAGTGGCTCCGGCACGGCGTGGTGGTCTTCTTGGAGTTTGTGAGGGAGACGAAGGAGGGGTGGATGAGTTTGGACGTGCGTTTCCATGGCCACCGGCGTCAGCCTGTTGACGGGCGGTGTTGCCATTATCTGCCATTGTTGTCTGTGTGTGTGTAGCCTTTTTTGTATTCAAAGAATGGGAGTGCAGAGGGGGACGATTGAAATGGAAGTTGTATTTATAGGTATTCCGGTGACGGTTATTTGTGGCGGTTGGTGGTTAACTATACCGGAGAAACGATAACTTGTTTTTAAACCGTTGACGTGAAACGGCGCCAAAAAGATATAAAATCAAAGGAATCGAAAACTACACCGATATAAACTTGACCGGTATTTGTCTGGTAACGGTTATAAAGTAGTTTCAGATCCTATATTGAATACTGAACTAAATATAAATTTACGGGATTTATAATTAAAAAATATAAATATAATTAAAAAATATGTTGTTTCAAATATGTATCTCTTTTATAAATTAATAGACCGGTTTGCTTTCGATGTGATACAGCAGAATTGATTTTTGTGAAAACTCTAGAACTGAGAACGTAATCGATAACTGCCTTTTTAAAAACTCTATATAACCCATACATAACCAATATATACAGAGATGGTTTTGGTGATGTCAATTGGATTTTTTGGTTTATTAGTCAACGGCAAATGTATAAGTCATATTTCATTTTGGTTATTGTCATAGGCTTTTAATTCATGTTTGATGAAAATTAATTATATATGTTGTTTAAGAAAACTAAAATTAATTTCATATATTATAGATTTTTTTAACTAAGCAAGGAGTTTGAAGAGAAGTGGAAACTTACAAAGTAATAATATTAATCATGTTTTGTAACAAAAATGACAAATGATGTTAAGTTTACATAAAAGATCATTTTTTGACACCTTATTTTTTATTTCAAATTAGACATTCAGACTAACTGATCAATAAAACTGTTATATACATCTGATAGTTTTTTTTAATTTTTTTTTTTTAAATTTGATTGGTTTAGGAGACCATTTCCAAAAATGGATTGGTTTTAAATCTATTTGTACAAATTGGTTCTTTTCGACCTCTTTAATACAGATTTTATATATATATATATATATATATATATATATATATATATATATATATATATATATATATATATATATATATATATATATATATATATAGGAATGAGTTGTATGGAAAACAAATAACTAGGCAACATCAACCTGAACCAATAATCAAATGACACGTATTCATTTATTTCTTCATAAGTAATGTATTGTTGAAGTTATTGTGGAAGTGATGTGTTGTTATGTTTTCATTGGTTCAAATATGTATTGCCCTAATCATTCATTTTCCATATAACTCTTCCCTATATATATATATAATATATATATATATATATATATATATATATATATATATATATATATATATATATATATATAATATATATATAATATATTCAATTAAAATTTAATATTATTTCAAATTTTACATTTTGTTTTTCATTTTATTATAATTGTGACTATTTGACTGGTCAATAAAATTGTTATATATCTGATAATTTTGGAGATTTTTGTATAATTTGATTGATTTAGAAGACGTTTTACACAAATAGATTGGTTTTAAATCTATTTGGAAAAATGGGTTGTTTGAAGAGTCCACAAGAAAAATAATTGAAGTCCTCTAACTTATATTAATGTATTATATCTTTTTTATTTTTTAAAGTTTACTTTTTGATCTCTTTAATACAGATACTATATAATTTGGTATTAAAAATATTTAATCGTAAATTATGTAACATTTTAAAAGAAGTTTTCCAAAAAAAAGTTTATATTTTCATATTATATTCAATTAAACTTTAGGGTTTAGGTCATTTTTAGTCACTTAACCTTTCGTTTTGTGTTTATTTGGTCACTTAACTCTTTTTAAGTTTTAAAAGGTCATCAAACTTTTGATTTTATGCTTATTTAGTCACTTAATTTTTGTTTTGTCGCATTTAGTCACCTAACTTTTAAAATTGTGTTCATTTAGTCACTAAACTTTTATGCTTTTTTAAAAGTTTAGTGACTAAATGAGCACAAATTTAAAAGTTAGGTAACTAAATAAGTACAAATCTAAAAGTTATGTGACTAAATATGACCAAACCAAAATTTAAGCGACTAAATGATCACAAAATCAAAAGTTTGATGACCTTTTAAAACTTAAAAATAATTAAGTGATCAAATGAGTACAAAACCAAAAATTAAGTGATCAAAAATAACCTAAACCTAAAATTTTAATATTATTTTTATTAACAATTAACCCAACACAAACTGATAATTGTTTATAAATTTAGGTTTTTACCTGGTAAAACGGTATCAACTAAATATAAGGTTTTACTTTTCCTAAATCTGATCCAAACTTGAAGCTTTTCTTTTAGAAAATATATATTTTTTTTCAATATTATATTAGTATATTATGTCGGTTTAACGGATTGTATTATTTTAATTTAATCTTACGGTATTCTTTTTATACAAAACAAAATATCTATTATGAAAATAGTTTTTATTTTATTTTAAAATCAAAATTTTATTATAGTTTCTTTAGGTTTTGAAAACCGAACAAGAGACTGAACAAGTTATCTTACTGGTTCGATAGTTCAAGTGATCCAACCGGTTAGACCGGTCTCAAAAACCGGAAAAAACGGATGATTTCATAATTATATTTAATTATATAAAAAATACAAACAACAAAACAAATATTTTTAATATTTCCGGTTTTGACCGGTTTTACCGGACCGCTTTTTACCGGTTGACTGGTTTTTATCGATTTTCATCAGTTCACACAGATACTGGTTTTTTGGCCTTTAAAAATTGCATCCGGGACCGGTTCCCTGTTGAACCAGTTGAACCGATCCGATTTTCAAAATATGAAGTTTCTTATAAATGATGTCATTCATGGTAGTTGAGATCGAGATCGATTAAATTACTTTTGCTTAATATATTTGCCACTTTTTTTTTTTTTTTTTTTTTTTTTTTTTTTTTTTTTTTTTTTAAATGGGCCCAACTAAAAAACAATGTATTTACATTAATATTTCACATTTGGCCATTTTATTTTTCATTTTAACCTTACAATTTATATCTTATTTTTTTTTATTTTAGAAAAGCTCTTCTTTGACTATATATATATATATATATATATATATATATATATATATATATATATATATATATATATATATATATATATATATATATATATATATATATATAGGTTCAGGTTAATTTGAGACCATTCTAATTTTGTGAGACCGTGATACCAAATCTAAAAATAATTTTAAAATGCAAAATAAATAGAAAAATCAATTCTTTTTTTTAAATATTATTTTTGGAACTTGAATTAACTAAAAAAAATAAAAAAATCTCGTTTTTTTTTTTTAAATACGTAAAATATTCTAAATAGAATATTAAACTGGTATATTTTAAAAAATAATTTTAAAATGCAAAATAAATGGAAAAATCTAAAAATTCTTTTTTAAATATTATTTTCGGGTACCTAAGCTTATGTACCCTAAGCTTATGTACCCTTAAGGGTATATTCACTTTTCCCTATATATATATATATATATATATATATATATATATATATATATATATATATATATATATATATATATATATACTAGCAGTGTACCCGCGCAAAGCGGCAGGGCGTGTAAATATATATATATATATATATATATATATATATATATATATATATATATATATATATATATATATATATATATATATATATATATATATATATATACTAGCAGTGTACCCGCGCAAAGCGGCAGGGCGTGTAAATTCTTTCGGTGATATGTTTCCTCTACAAAAATGTTATTTTACAAAAGAAAGTACATGTCGAAGACAAAATAATCAAACTATGGTGTTATTTGGGAGATGAAGTCATTTTTTGTTCGTGGACGGTGGGCTTTATAGCAGAGGAGGGAACAAAGAGGTATATGCGATTGGAGGGATATTTGAATCAACATGCTAAATTTAAGGATATCTAAAAGGGTTCAAAATTTGAATGAATCCGGGATTTGAGGGAACCATATAAAATTGTTGAGAAATATAAGGAGATTTGATGATAAATATTTGAATTCAAAATGTGGTTAAAATTTAATATTATTTTATTAATGGTTACTTGTACTATCAGCTTCATCATTTTGACGTCTTAAAAAAATAATATTATTATAATCAATCTATTTTTAGAAATAGTTAGATTTCTTTTATAAGATAGTAAAGATATATATATATATATATATATATATATATATATATATATATATATATATATATATATATATATATATATATATATATATATATATATATATATATATATATATAGGTTCAAGTGTTTATAGTAAATATTGTGTTCCTAAGTACACCAATCACAATTTAGCAAATTATTAAATAATTTATTAAATGAATAATGGTATTTTTGGGTTTTTGACACATTCAATTAATGAGATCATTTAATTAAATCCCTTTAATTTAGGAAACAAAATAATTAGGTTTGACGTAATCTCTTTCTTTTATCTCACATATTCTTCACATACAAAAGAAAAAGAAATCAAAAGAGTCAGTTTCACCATCATCTCCATCGCCGATCACCACTCGCACATACACACCACTACCAAATTCTTCATTTTTCAAGGAATCAAAGGGCTTGAAGAAACTATGCAGGGTATGTTGATGCTTCCAAACAACCGTCAAAACAACCCTAGAGGACCACAACCGCCGGAAAAAAAAAAAAAAAAAAAAAAAAAAAAAAAGAGACGCAATTTCCCTTTGTTTGTTCCCCTCGTCGACTGCATACTTGTCTACCTCCATCTTGAACCCACGAAGAATCGATTAAAGAAGGATTACACTCGTTCTAAGTTAAATCATGTTTGACGTCTTTTCCATCCAAGCAAGTTTCAAGGTGAGAAATTAAAAATCCCTAATATCTCAATTTTAGCATCAATACTTCATAATATTCGACCTTTTAGTTTTTAGTTGGTCGTGTTTTCTATTATAACCCTTTTAAATATTGATGGAATCTTAATTGGATAATCAATGCACATATATAACTCTAATCGG